TGGAAGCCAGTGTTTTTAAAAGATAATTAAATTATTTGAATTTCCATTGATTTTTCTATGAATGCCATAAATTTAGTGAACACTAGTCTAATAAAACATATAATTAACGCGCAAAGAACGGTGGAATTGAAGCAGAATAAAATTTCGGATATATCTGAAGGCCTACAACATTAAATTTTTGAAAATGTCTCGAAAAAAGAATTTTGCTTCCTGGACATTCAATAAATGTCATCATACCATAAATTGAAAATTGCCATCCGACGCCTCCACGTTCCCTTTTGAGTTCAAATTTATTTAGAAAAACTCACCATAGCTCGGGGCCGGCGCGCAAACCGGACACGGCTTCGGCCGGCATACTGGACATGGTGGAGGGGCTGGGCAGGCAGGCTGGATTGGATTAATTAACATACTTAAAATTTTAATTAAAATTAACTAAGATCAGGGATTGAAATTTTATAATTTAGCGCTCAGTGGCAGATTACGTACATTTCAAACGCGCGACTGTTGCCATGGGATAAAAACATATATTTTTGTTCAGGTTTTTCCCACCACCAATTTCGAAATCATTCTCTCTCTTTCTCTTTCTCTTTCTCTTTCTATCTCTCTCTATCTCTCTCTCTTTCTCGCTCAATCGAACACTGTCGATCTATCCGTCTCTCTCACTCACGCCCTCTACCCTCCTCTGGCTTCATTTCTGTGTCTCTGGCTCTTAGTCCCTCCCCTCGGTCCCTCCCCTCCGTCTCTCTCTCTCTCTCTCTCTCTCTCTCTCTCTATCTCTCTCTTTCACTCTCTCTCTCTCTCATTCTCTCTCTCTCCCTCTCTCTCTCTCTCGCTATCTCTCTCGCGCTCTCTCTCTCGCTATCTCTCTCGCGCTCTCTCTCTCTCGCTATCTCTCTCGCGCTCTCTCTCTCCTTGGGTGTCTCTCTCACTCGCGTTTTTAGACGAAGCTAGGCCACTAGGTATTCTGGTTCCTATCAACTGCCAGTCCACTTCATGGCCTGAAACATCAAATAAAAACGCCCTTCTAGTTAATAACCCGTGAATTAGAAATCGTTCCCTTTAATCTGACCATACCTGACATCCACAAGATGGTGGCTGTGGTGTTCCGCATCCGCAACAACATCCGCCCCCTCCTCCTCCTCCACCTCCACCTCCGAAAAATATGGCCATCGTCGAAGGGAGCAGCAGGAAGGGCAAAATCGATTTCGCAGCTAACCGCATCTTACGTTTTCTGAAAATCCTTCGTGGTCAAGTCTGCTACTTACTGCTAACCCGATTCCAGAAAACTAGAAAAATCTGTCAAATTGGTTAGGTAAAATCATTCCAAATCCACACTTCTGGAATAGCAAACTTTTTGCAATAAAAATCTTGCGCTGGAAATCCGATATAATTCCGACATCAGGCCATTAGTATAAAGTCCTTATATGTATGTTTTCAGGTGGTTTTAGTGGTTGCCTATCCCACTTCCACACTTTACTGTGTGGACCACTAGTGGTCATTACTGCAAAATTTCGAGCAAACCCCTGTATGAAAAATCGTTTCAAAATTGATCGTGCTTGTTTGCATCTAGCAAACTTGAGCTTGGTTTTAGCAAATTGTAAAAAACAAATTTTTGTAAGAAAATGTTACGAAAAAAGACCGGGGGACAATCTGGGAACCTTCCAATAATTGGTGCTCCGTTTCAAATGTTTCCCATTAACTCAATTACCATGAAGAAAATCAAGCTATTAGTGAGCCTTTTGTGAGTGTATGTGAGTCTCGGAATTATGTGATGTGGATAAATAAGATTTTTTGCATTTGAAGTTTTCAAATAAGTTTGAAACAAGTATTTCGATCACCTCCGGGAAAATTGGCCACGACAACATTCCGATTCAATACGGAATCCAAGTGAATGAGAAGAATCAGGACAAAAGGTAGCTGAAGTCCTTACAATCTATATAGATTGAAAAATTTTTGCAAGAAATTGTTGCGATGGACATCCACTGTAATCGCGACAACAAGTGAATAATCCACGGACTCGCGTGACTATATTTGTGTTTTCAGGTGGTTACATTGGTTTCCTATATTACTTTCACACGATCTCGTTACTGCAAAATTTTCAGTAAAATCTTGTATGAAAAATCGGCAAAATTTAGCCTGACGATTTGCACCTAGCAAGCCTGATATTGGTATGCATAAATATTTTTTTTTGGAAAGAAATGTTACGAAAAAAATACTCGGAAACTCGGAGGACATTCCCATAATAGAGTGTTCTTTTTGACATCATAAACATTTTATAGTCGTCTTTTTTGACAAATCGAAAAATGTTTCGTGTCGATTAGATGATCTTGATTACCTCGTAGATTCTATTAGGTTGTCCACTGTCTGTATAAGAATTCTTCGAAGGGGATAAACCCATCAGCAGCTTGTCATTTCAATAGCGCCAGGGTACATATCGGTTTCGAAGCATGTTTTTGGAGCCCTTTCGAGATAATTCACCACTACAACATTCTGGTTCCACAATCCGAGTCCAAGAGAATGAGAAAAATCAAGTAAAAACGATCGTAAAAATTCGTTCAAATCCAAATGCATAAATTCAAAAAAATTTTGGAAGAAAATGTTGCGAGGGATGTTGTGTGTAGCTCCGACAAAAGGCCAATAATGTCAGCAAGCTTAATGTGAGTGTATTTGCGACTTCACGTGGCTTTTTTTGGTTTTATAAACCACTTGCATTTTGATTACTTGATTTTGAATTTTGATTGATGAAAATTTTGATTACCAAATCGCGCGATACAATGAAAAGTGCGTTTTGAAATCGAGTACCTACAAGCAAACGTGCGTTGAGAATCAGTTTAGTGACCGGAAAATGGGGCGCTAAGCGACCACCTAATGGTGATGATTACCAGTTCCCGGGCCTGTGACCCCTTTTAAAGCAACAGTTCCTGTTTGATCAACACCAGAGCCGGTATTTTTTTGGGGAAAGGAAAAGCCGCATCCTCTCACTAACTCGACCCCGAAAAACCACAGGAAATACTTGTTCGGATCAGCTTTCTTCGGTTATTCGTTTTCTCTCACTCTCTCTCGCTCCCTCTATCCCTCTCGCTCCCTCTCTCTCTCCTCTCTCTCTCACGAGCTCAACTCGCGCAATTTTTATCCCAAGCCAAATATGCATCAAATGAGGAAGGGTTATTACAGACCTGGCAAGTCGCGCTTTGCCTCCCCAACTTGAAACTCATTTTTGCCCGAAGGATGTAAATCGACTTGCGCAAACAAAATTCCTATTGCTCTTTAGTTGAAACACTAAACATGCGGCATTTTTATTAAGAACTTTTGATTTTCATTGATTAGGCTTTATTATCATTATCATATTAAGCATATTAGAAAAGTCAATTCAGGAAGAAGAAAATATGCTTCCCTAATGTATGAACCACAGGGCTCTAAAAATGGATCAATGCTGACTATTTTTTTGGACTGCAAAATTTCAACCGCGCCGGAAGCTGAACGAAACATGCGTTTCAAAAATGTAGGCACTCATGTCGCGATACAAAAGAATAGTATCCAGCTCTGCGCAGATCTTCCCTACACCTGGTACCTGGAAAAAGCTTTTTTAACGAGAAAATCTTTCTCATATCGTTTCTGACCCTCGAAAATCGTTTGAAAGATGACAGCGAAGCTTGTTTTGCAATCGTTTCGGATTCGAATTGAAAATCGTTTAAAAGATGCGTTCAAGCTAGAATTGCAGAAGCATGATTTTTCGGGTATGCCAAGCAACTTGAAACAATTGAGTTTGTTTGCTGAAATTGTTTTGCGAAATTTTGACGATTAATTCCTTCCTTTTGTTATGCTATCATGGCGTACGATCAAGCTCCTCGCGCAAAAATCATGATTTTGTTTGGCTAAAACGCTGAAAATTAGACCATATGGGGTGTGCGAAAAAATTGACGAGGTGTTCGACACTTTAAAAAGTTCACGAAACACATGTTTTCAAGCTTAAATAAAATCGGCATTACACTTAAATGCCGAAAAATAGTAGGCCCTTTGGAGCTGAGGAAAGGCCCAAATGTTTTCCTTTATTTTTATGGCTCTGATTCTGCTTTAAAGGTACATCGCTCTCGTTCTGAACCATTAATCAGTGGCGCGAATGTGACCCTTGGGCGGCAGAGCACACAGACCCTTCATATCCACTCACCCCTCCCCCAGGGCCGTAACAAACCCGAAATTTCGGGGGGAGGGGGCGGCGCCAATTTTTTTTTGCTAAATCGACCAAAAATGTTAGAAATTAAAATTAATTAAATTTCGGAAAATTAAAATCATCAGGGTCCCCCTTATGAGCTTTTCGGCCTTCGGCCGATTTCGGGAGGGCGGCTCGCCCCCCTCGCCCCCTCCCCTCTTACGGGCCTGCCCTCCCCCTCTCCCGTCTCTCCCATGGCCGAGTGGTCTATGGCGCTTGCCCCAGGGCGAGTGGTGCGGGTTCGATTGTGCCGGATGTCATGCACCTACCGCAACCGCGTGCTAAAGTGTTTAGTTGCCGCGTGCTAAAGTAGAGTAACACTGTTTACCATTTCAAGACCAGACGTTGAAAACGAGATGGAATGTCCCTTTAAATGGGAAAAATCTGCCTTAGTTAGACGCTACTACTTACAACGTTTTCAGCTCCGAAACTCGTTTCCTGACGGCAAGCATGGGGTAATGTAAAACATTCTAATTTGCCTTCTGTACGAGGCTCCAGGATCAAACACAGTTTACAAAAAAATGTGTTTCGACATTTTCTGCAACTCCTTTCACCTTTGTTATGCAAGTTCGCATTCGCTCATTTGTTTTAGTTCAAACCTTCAAATTCATAACTTCGAAAATACACAGTAATTTGCGATGAAAAGTTACATAAAAATAATTTATTCCGGGGGCACACAATCAATCACAACCGAGGACAACAGTTTGGTTTGGAATTCGCTTTGTATTAACAGTCGAATGAGACAAAAGTACAGTATTTATACATGAATTAATGGAGCGCCTTGTTTTTAACGACACCGATACCATGCCCTCACCACCTCGCCTCGCACCCTGAAAACACTGTTGGCTCTGGTTTGTTAGGGGGGACCCAACTTCGTGGGCCAACTTATGGATATTCAAATCTTGTGGAAAGTCTAGAAATGCGTAGTAACTTGATCGGAAGTATTTTATTAGTGTTTTTAGTTTTCAACTCAAACTTTCAAAAAAATTCTAAAGCAGACATTTTGGCCGAAGTTTCTGGTCGAGAGATCGAGTTTTTGTCATTTTTAAGAGAAATTGTAGAGCTTTGACGTTTATCTAAATAGTTAAAACAATTTAGAAACACGGCCGATAAACTCTTTCCCCGATAGTGCGAAAGAACCAATCAAAAATCCTCTTTTCTCTCTCTCTCTCTCTCTCTCTCTCTCTCTCTCTCTCCGTCTCTTTCGGCTATTCTTAGGCTATATTTAGGCTTTTCGGGAATTCGGCAAATTTGTCCCACTCTTCCAAGTCCTTCTCGGAAATGTCGGTCTGCGTTTGCAAGTGGTAGAGATGGAGGGCCGCCTGGCAGGAGGCGAATTGTTCCTTCTTCTGTAAATTGCGAGGGTTAGGCCGAAAAGCTGTAAAATCGGAGTACTGGGCTGTTAACGGGGGGAGGGCTTTCTAAGTTCCATTAATATTTTTGATGACTGAAAGAGCGGAGCCAACTTTTTTCCTGTCGGCCCTGGTGGGGATAGCAATCAAATATAAAATGTTCGCACATTGTTTTAGGAAATTTAAGCCTATCTGAATCGGAAAAAATTTTTAAAAAGTTAGAAAAACTTTTGAAAAAGCCGAAAATTTGGTCATTTTTGGGCCGAAAAAATTGATTTTTAGAACTAAAATAAATTTTTGAATTAATTTTTGTAAAGTTTGTATGCTTAGGAATTTAGATACAATTTAGAAACACTTCCACCATTTATATAAAAATTCGAGGCTTGGGACAAAAAAGGTCGGTTTCCCCTCCCCCGCGAATTCCCCACCCCCCCCGGGATACGAAAGAACCAAAAGTCACAAAAAAGAAACCCTGCAAAAACCCCCCTTATAACAGTCCAGTACCAAAATGATACCTCCACGGCGCCAGCACGAGCCGCTCGCAGCTCCCGCAGCTGCTCTTTCGGGTCGAAGGGGATTCCATGATCGATGGCCGTCATCCCCATCCGGAGCAGCATCAGCGTCCCGGTACGTCCGCGCCCAGCCTCGCCGTGGATCAGCACCGTCCTGCAGGCGGTGCTCGTTTTTGCATCCAATCTTTTGTATAGTCTTAGAAATGTCTAGCAACTAAATGGGAAGTATTTTGATCATGTTTTTGGTAAAATAAAATTATATATTGCAAACAGAAAAGTATCTAAAAATCTGTTCCTGATCCTGGAGAATCCATCCTGAAAAAAACTTTTTGGTCAAAAAAAATCCATATTTTTTAACTTTCACATCTTTATCACCTATTTACATTACACGAAATTTTTTAAAGCATGCAAGAATGCAAAAAATCTTTGTTTCGAGCTAGCATGGCCGATTTTTGACAAACATTTCTCATCCTTAAACTTTTCTTGAAGTCTTTGTGTTAGGTCTTTTTGAACTCTTAAATGACTTAGTAAGAAGCGCATAGGCATTTCTGGACTTAAAAAAACTGGTCCTCCCCCGATAATGCGAAAGAACCCAAAGTTTTAAAAGTACCTCTCCTCTCCGATATACACCAACAACTCGCAAAGCCCCAAATCCGGCTTGAAGCCTTCCCCATCGCGCCAGTCCACCTGAACAGTTTATTTGATGCTGGTTCGTTATCAGGGGGACTACTAGTTTTTGTTTTTTCGTCTATATATCAACCAGTTAATAATAAATAGTATCTTTTTCGAAGGTTTTTCACAGCGTTTGACTGCTAGGAAGTTACAAAAACCTTTTGAAGTTTGAAAAATCTGTTTTTTTCCATAACTTTTCATATATTTTGTGTTTAAGAGCTCTGCAAAATTTTATCCATAAATAGGGTTTAGGCTTTGTTAAAGGACCGTATAGGACTACTGGGGAAAATTAGTTTTCGCCCTGTTGAAAATCTCCCTTGCTAAGAGCCCAGCAACGACGTTTGTTCTACCGCACTAATCATGCCAAATAAATCTCGCCTTAAACATGTTGATGCTGTGGGGGTTGCTGCCTTCTCGTCTCATCAACAGGCTATGAGCGCGCACCTTCAGACTCGTTTCGTGCGCGAAATTGAACTGAAACATCGTTTCTGGCGTGAACCTTCTCGTCTCGTCCCCCCATGGTAATGGGGTAAACTAGGCTTTAGCCCCCACCTTTCCCGAGAATTCAGCTTCCACGGTGTAGGGAGTTCCGCTAAGGTCAGGCACAACGAAGTTTTCGGTGAACATATCGGTGTACATATCCCAGCGGTGACCCAGAAACAGAATACACTGAAAAACATGTCTACCCTTATGTCGATAATTTCAAACGAGTTTAGCTAAGCGTTTAGCCAAAACCGTATCAGAATTGAGCACCCACATTGACCTTCTCCTGCCAGACCATGGCCCAAAAGTCACGACATGTCGCCTTGAGGTGCGGCGCCTCGGCCAAGATGAACTGTTGCTCCGAGTTGGCAGGGCGGACCCAGTTCGCGTGGTAGAATTGGTCGCAGTTGTTCGCTTCGAAAACATGGACACGCGTCGCGTCGATGCATGGGTTACACTGAAAAAAGGATGCTATCCCAATTGCTTAGCATCGTTAACCCCCGATACTTATTTGTGCTGCTCCGCAGAGCTGCTTTCCAAAAATAGCGAAGCTTCCGTGTGGAAGACTTCGGGCTTGATGCTAACCTCAAACCGGTGCAACTAGTGCTGGGGCGAATGGGTGGGGGGCGCCTATGTGGGCGAACAGTGGGCCAGGTGCGCGTCTTTTCCAGGAACGACCTTTGAGACCGTTGCATACCTCAATTAAATCTCCTACAGACATGATTTTAATACATCAGAATATCTAATAGTATGCTCTCGAACGTTTTTAATGAAAACAATGCAATTATAACTTCCTTTTCGTTCTTTGAAATGCCTTTAAAGCCGTGAGTGCGCCTGTCGGTTACCTCCCCCCCAGCCGGCGCCAACTTTTGTGTCTCGGCTCCCTGTTTGTCTACCGGGGTATCAAGTGTACGAAAATGCTGGTCTTGCTCTGACGAGTATTTTGGCATAGCCCTGTCACACAACGGGTTGAAATGATATAATTCGCAAACTGTACCTAAATCAGTGCGTACAAAACATCAATTCCGATTTATTAGCATACCTTGAAGAGGGTGGGGTGCCAGAACCAGGTCCGTGCCTTTTCCAGGTCTATCGCGCTGTCGACTTCCAGGAATTGACGGCCCCATTCCTAAAGATGTAAATGAGTGGATTTTTCAGAAAAGAGAAGTTGGCAAAAAAATTGGCAAGCTTTTGCCTTTAGCGGAGGAAAGCTTTTTAGCACTTTGTCGTCCCCCGGTAACAAACAGAAAGGAAACAGAAATCATCCCCAGCTAACAGTCCAGTACCCCGAGAAGCCAGAGTTAGGCTTCCACCCCGTGAAAATACACCCCCGTTAAGAGACCAGTACCGGATCCCCTAAGTTCAAATCTCCTCTTTAACCAAAACACCGGCCGCACCCACTCGGAAAGGCTTATCCCAGTCAGGTGGGCAGGGTGGGCTGATCTTGGGCTTCTTTTTGCAGCAGCAACAGCCACCGATACAGCGGCGGATCTGAAAAGCGAAATAAACTCGTATATAATCCTTTATCACGACGAATCCTACTATATATAAAAAAATAGTGTTTGTGTGTGTGTGTGTGTGTGTGTGCCACTTTGCATCCACTTCCGTCTGTCTGTCCGGAGGATATCTCAAGAAGGGACGGGTATTAGGCTACGTATGATACGACATTAGGTGCGTAATGGTCTTGGGATGACTGCACACCTATCAGCTTTTACAAAATCAGCGATTTTCGACATTAAATTTAGGTTTTTGTGAAAACTTCTTTGTTAAAAACAATTAGCATAGAGCGGAAGTGGGGACGGGACTATATAAAGCGGCAGACGAAGTGGTTTTTCATTTTTGCCTTCTGAATTCAGGACAAGTATGCAAAGTGAAAGATAAAATGCGGCCATACAAGGCCAGGGTTGAAAAGTCGCGAAGCGGCTTTTCAACCCTGGTAAAATATCTAAAAGCATAGTGAAAACCCACCCAGTGTTCTTCTGGTGGGTTTCCAAATCGATCCGGCGGCTTCCCAAATCGATCCGGTGGCTTCGATTTTGCGCAGCCCATCAGGAGAACATTGGGGAGTCGTGCAATGGTTTGGGTTTGTGAATGGATTGGTTTGCGTGACGGTTGTATTCGGTATGCAAATTAATGAATTACTATATAATATGTAAGATGCAAATGCAAAGAGGTGCAAAAATCATGCAAACAGTGTGGCCTCGAAAGCCACTTTCCAAAATTTACGAGAATCTCGCAGGGGAGAACCCGGGTTAAATACCAACCTCAAACTTGTTGGACGAATCCGTAGCCTCGAATTCTATGTGGTCTATATGATCCAATAGTGGGCCAGGTGTGCGACTGTCGCTTCGACGCACCAGAAATAATCCAGTTCCTGCTGGTGCCGGCCGGGCCGTTATCAGGTAAGAACGTATCCGACGTAAAACCTTGCCTTAAATAATCCTACCTTATATAATTTTGGAGTGTATGTGTGTGTGTGTGTGTGGATGTCACTTTCGAGGCCCGATTTGAGGGCCTTCCTGTGCATAAAATGCCCTAATTCTCCGACACCCGGGGGAATCGACCCTTCTGTTTCCGATGGCGTTTTCAGAATTTCGATAAAATACAAGTTTACAAAGTTAAAGCAAGTTTTATTGATTTTTGGGGCTCCGGGAGGGCTAATTTGCATAAGGTGAAAAAATACAAATTTTCTCATTCTTGCCAGTTGCACTCGCGCGTGTGGTCGGACGGGGGGAGGGGGTCCGAAGGACCCGAGCTATCGGGAAGGCAAATTCCTCCTGCAAAGGCCGCATTCCAGCGCCCAAGGCCCGCGAAGCGGGTTTTGGGCGCTGGGATCTCTATGATACCGTAGTGCGACCGAAAGGTCGCGTTCCAAAATTTACGAGTAGCCCCAAAGGGAGAACTCGGGTTAAACACCAACCTCAAGCTTGTTGGACGAATCCGGCAAGCAAATAATGATGATGGCTATGTCGGGAAATAGTGAGCCAGATGGGCGACTTTCGCTTATGCACAACGGTTTTTGCAGTGCTCTAACTCGACTCGTAAATTTAAAAATCAACCAAATGGAATGAACAGAAAGATGACACCTGGGCCATAATCAAAAAGTTATATTCACCTGTTTCGAAGCTAATTCGTCCATCCTGCGTTATTTATTGCTCGCTATGGTGTGTGTCTTGTATTTCGTTTTTTGAATAATTTATTTTAAAAGGAAAATGGAAATAACGTTACAGAGCGGTAGAACACCGAAAAACAATGCCGACAAGAATAGAATTGGGTTTGGGGAATCACATCGGGGGCTGGTGGACAATATTTCACCAAGGTCAACTCAATTTGACGTTAGAATCAGCTGCAGGTATAAAACGGGGTTGGTCCAACCGGAAAAAATATGTTTCGACGCAGGAAATCATGGATTTTGAGAAAGGTCGGTTAATGAAGGGATCTTGCTTCGACGACCTTATTTTGCATGAAACTTATTTGAATCGAAAGAAAGATGTTTTAAACTGGGATAATTATTTTTTAGAAATGCAGTATAGTTTTTTATATAGCTAACGTTGCGTTTACATGTTTCATTTTTATAACAATTAAAAGCAATTAAGAATTTTAGCAATTAAGCAGGTGGACTTGTCCAAAATAATTTTCAACTTTTAAATTTTTTTGAAACATTTGAATTTAAAATTTTTTAATTGTTTACTTTTTCTCTGGAAAATCGCTAAACATGGAGATTTTAATTCGTATTTAAATTTAAAATCTAATTTTCCGTAATGTCCGACCTTTCACAAAAATACAAAATAATTCCCAAGAGAAAGAATACAAACCGAATGCGTAACTAGCATATGTATCATGAATTCACGGTGTGAGGTAAGGGGTGTGGGTTTTTGGAATCGATTGTGTTTTTTGAGGGATTGTGCGGCACTTGAGGTAGTTGATGTTGCGGGATCATGCGCTTTTTAGGAGGGGGGGGGGGTTGAGGTCACAAGGTTCCAATTCGAAAAATGTCTAAAAAGTTTAAAGGGATTGACAAGGCACGGCTATGGATGTTGTTCGCTCAGGTTAGTAAAATATGTTCCCGCGCCGCGACACGCCGCGCGCGTGACTTTCATTTCGTTGCGTAACCGATTAGGCTGCCGGTGGTTTCTCTTGATCATAACGCGACAAGCAACGCGGGCCTGGTCTTCCCACGCGTAGTCGATTAGTGCTTGCTGGTGTTTTTCTCGATCTCGCGGCGACACGCAACGCCTATGGTTTCTACTCTATTGCGTAACCGATTAGACATTACAGGTTCTTTATCTTGATCCTACGCGTTGCGTGTCACGGGCGCGGTTAAATCGAATCCGCAGCCATAGAGCCATATTTATGCCTTGCCGGCTCCTTTAAACGAGCGTGCAAGGTATGGATATGGCATTAAACGGTTACGGTTGCCTTCTTTTCCCTTGCATAATGCATTGCGTCTCGGCCAGCCCAGCCTATCTGCGATGTGTGCGTGTTGCCTGCCGCGGGTATAGCAAAATACGAACAAACGAACAACTAAAACTCTATAGCGTTGTGCCTTGCCTGTCCCTTTAAACTGCAAGGGATTCGGACTCGCCAGGGTGGAGGGTGAAAGAACGGAGGAGGAAGAATAAGAACAAGTGGTCCGTAATTTAGGGGATTCGGGAATTTCGGGGCCAGGTTACGTATTCGAACCGGTGAAAAATAAATTATAAAGGTGTTAAAATCAAAAGTATCATTTTTTTACACGGAGCACACGTCGATGATCGAATTTGACGGGGCCGGCGGGTCGGCGAGTTGGAGCTGAAAAAAAACAAAGTTTCATTTTTATGACGAAAACTCTTGAAGTTCGCATGACGTTATTATCATGGGTAGATTATCGCTTTGCTCGATGGATTGTTACGTCATTCACTTAATTCCGTAGGGGAATTTTTGAAACATTAATTTTCAATCCGAAGCGCGGCCCTAAGCTAATCTAGATCTAAAGCAGCGGTGAACGCAGGGATTTCGCTGGGCGCCGTATTCAACGACAGAACCACGACAGATATCTAGGTGAAGTTAAATTCAGAATGACAATATTTTCTTTGCCTAATCTCGCGGTTAAATCAAAAAAGCACATTTAGTGCAGCCCCGAAAAGCTGCTTTCCAAAATTAGCGAAGTTTCCGTGCGGAAGCCCTCGGGTTTGATGCTAACCTCAAACCTGGTGCACTGAGTGCTGAGGTTATTGGGTGGGAGCGCCTATGTGGACGAACAGTGGGCCAGGTGCGCGGCTTTTCGAGGAGCGAAAGGGAGACCTTCGAACCCATAATACTAAACTTACCCCTGGTGCCATATTTTCCTCCTGCGGCAGCTTCTGTAGGCCCATGGCTGGATCCTGGGTGAAGAGATGGTAGTTGAGGAGGATCTGCCCCAGTAGCTGCTCATTGGCCGCCGTGAGGAGCGGGAAGTTGAAGGCGGCCGGGGTCGAGGAGGATGATGAAGAGGACGGGGTCCCGGGAAGGCCGAGGCTCGCTGAAAAAAACACATAGCTTCTTCAAAATTTGGCGTTTTAAGCGCTAGATATGAATGTTTCAAAAACCGTCGATTGAGGTTGGTTTTTGGATTAGTTAATGCATTTCTGTGCTCACGATAAAATCCTGTGCTTGCGTTAATCTGTCTTTAATGATAGTGTTTTTTTGGTGCCAGAATAGCCCTAAGATTAAGAAGTCGCATCCCAGGGTTTATTTAGTACCTAAAAGGCGGAAACTCGAACTCGAACTCGAATCTTTTGAAATTTTGTGTGTTTCACCCTTCGCCCGAGTTCAAGATTTCAAATATTTCACGGACCGTGGCAGCTTTGAATCCTTAACGTATTCTTGGCACCAATTTTGCATCAGATTTTCCCAATTTCCGCAAATAATGGCATGTATCAAAAGTTGCATATGAAAGAAACCTATTTTATTCTTACTATTACAGTCCTCGTATTGCTGACTCATATGTTTTCAGGATAATTGGATAGAATTAATGCTCAAAGGGTGTTTTTGCGAATTGAGCTTTTGCATTTAGCTCTTTTTCTACTGTAAATTTCATTAAAAATTATTTAATTCGAGTACATTATTGACTCTATTAAATTTAGCACCTGGAAGGGAGGAGATATCTAATTACCAGCGACTTTCACGAACCGTTTGAATGTTGTTTTAGGTTTCAATGTTTCAAAAAACTAATAGGTCGTGTCGGTTTTGAAATACCCAATAGATTGATTCGCGACTTCATTCGGAGCCACACATCGGTACGGAACCTTTGTATTTGTTTCAACGATTAAAGGTAGAACTAAAAGCTTACATACTCAAGCTTTTCAAAATCAAATTCTTTTAAATTTTGATGTTTCTTTAAATTTTGGGCAACTTTGAAGGCCGCCATCTACAATGCCGTTAACTGCGTGTCTTGTGCTAACTTCATTTTTCTCAATGAAGGTTAATTCTCATTTTAATACCTTAAAAACCATTAAACAATTGTTTTTATTGCTTACCCAAAACATCTGGCACGCCCATTTTCGGTGTGGTGACGGGGGTGGTGTTGAGGAGTGGCTGCAGTGGCTGGGAGAGTGGTAGGGCTGGAAAAGAGTGGAATAGATGAAATAGAGTAACAAACGAGTATTATCGCGTTATAGACTAAGATACATAAATACGACTAAAGATATCTTTAAAACCTCGTGAATTCAAGGAGTTGGCAAAAAATGTTTCAAAAAGTTGAGCATTGAGAAGTACTGGTGGTTGACCAATTCCTCGCTTGGTAATGTGCATAAAAACCTTACATTAGCTTGAATTTGGTTCTTTCGCATTATCGGGGGGGCTTTTCGCGAAAATCCAATTCTTCTAATATAAATCGCAGATGGCTTTCCAAACGCTTTTTCACAATAAAAAAAATCAATTTTGATCAAACGTTCGAAGAAAAGAATATTTAAAAGAAATGTATATAAAAACTTCGACCAAATTTTTACATAAAAAGTTTGCATTTTTTTCGTTGCCATTGAAATGACATTTACCTGTAAAAACAATTAAGACGGTGAATATTACGTTAATAGACATTCCTCACAGCAAAAAATGGGTTCCATCCGTCACTAATAATGCGAAATAACCAGAACGAGAATACAAATTTTATTCCCTGCCATGTAAACTGGTTTCCAAATAACATTCTGGAATTTTTATATTTTATCGATTTCACATATTAAAGGGGTCTAAAGCTAAATATTAGAATTGGAGTGATCTAATTCACTCGACGAATGAACAAGCCAAACGTTTTTGTGTGATATAATTCAATGTTTCAAATCTTTTCGTAGTCAGAATCCCAACAGACAGGGGAATCTGGTATAGCGATTTTCATTTAAAAATATAACTGTCGAAATTTTTAAAAAGCCCTGAATTTGTTACAAAATTCACTTAGATAATGTTTTCCTAAAACTCACGGTGAACGGATCGATTGGGGAGCCAATTTCAGAAAGGAAAATTTTCTTTGGAGCAGCTGATGTTTCACCAAACTCCAAAGTATAATCGAGCTATTTTGATTGATGTAGTCACCGTAAATTTTGACGAACCTTTTTATATACATTAAAATCCACCTTTAAGCGTTTTAAATATAAATTGTCGATTTATTCTCTTAGTCTAATACAGGGGCGTAGCCAGAAAAAAATTTCGGGGGCCCCGAAAATTTTTTTCCAAATCACTCAAAAAATTAACGAAAAAAAACAGCGCCGCAGGCGAAAAATTTTGGAAAAAAGGCTACACAGCTCTACAAATAGCAATAAAAACGTGAAAAAATAGCGCCGGAGGCAGCAAAATTTTTGAGAAAATAAAAATCATAAGGGTCCCCCCTTATGAAATTTTCGGGCCCCGGCCGATTGCGGGGGGCACCGGGCCCAGGGGGCCCACCTTACGCTACGTCCCTGGTCTAATAACAAATTGTATTTGGAAAAACACTAAAAATCCATTTATTTTGTTGTATTTATACTCTTTGATACTTTCATATATCAGTTTCAATTTATTCCGGTAGTATACTAACGTGTATTTTGGAGAAAAAGCTAAAAAAAACTTACCCGTTGACGTGAGTTGATCGATTGGGGCGGCCAGCGGGAGAAGTAGTGGATCCAGCATTACCGTACTCGTCGGAATCGTTGACGGGTGCGGCGCGGAACTACTGCAATTTATAGCTTAGATTAAATTGAATAATTAAGATAGCTTTTAGTCGAAACCCTCAGTTAAAATAATTTAGAAGTACGGCTCTGTTATATCAAATTGTATTTTATCTACTTTAGCGTTTACCAGTGCCACGTTAAAACATGGATTTTGAAAAGTCCATTTTTAAGGTTTGTATGTTTTAAAGCTTAGATTTTTAAAGTTAGATAAATTACGATAGTTTAGTCGCAAACTTAATTGCTTGGTCTTAAATCCAAAAAATCGAAAAACATCGTATTAGCGACACTTCGCCTGCCCAACTCACCAGATCATTTAAAACATTTCTATAGGCTTGTTTATTTAACGTGTGGTTATTTTGAAAGTTAGTAAGAAATACGCGTAAGATAAATTAAAATATTTTTTGGAAAACTTTATTGCCAATAAAAGGATGAAACCATGTCGATTAGCAATGCCTTTTCCACGCGACCCATGACATTTTTTTGAAACATTTATTTCAAAGTTTTACTTGACCGAAAGATAATTATTTTTACGAAGTATTTACATTTTCCAAAACTGATAATATTCCTCGATTGTTAAAAACAAGTCTATGTTGGTTTGAACTGTTCTAGCGCCAAGCGAATAACGCTCTTTTTTCAAGGATTTCACCATACAGAAACCTATAAATTCCATTTATAAAAAACTACCAATTTTTGTAATTCTTTGAAAATGGATTTTTAAAGTTTATATGTATTAAAGTTTAGATTTTTTTAAATTTAGATTTTTTTAGAGTTAGTCGCAAAGTTGGTTGCTTGATATTAAATCCAAAAATTCAATCCAAAATTCAAAAATCCAAAATTCCGTTTTATCGACCGACCTCCTCCCCAAGTCCCAGATTTTTTAAGACATTTTTTATAGGCTTGTTTATTTAATATGTGGTGAAAGCGGATGAAATCTCTCTAAGGCTAAAAAGAGTCTTTTTAAAAAAGGGCTTTTGGTTTTCGCAAAAAGCGATTAATTCTCGTGGCAAGAAAAAGAGCTAAATTCCTTTCAAACTCTTAAAAATGCCACAGAATGCGGGAACAACAAAAAGTTGCTGGCTATTTAAAATCTTCATAAACTCTGTACCATCCCAGATCACAGGTCAGGTCCACAGATTAATTTCAAGAAAGTGCAAATAGATCATAATACAGAAATTATTTGCAAGCCGAAACCGCTAGAAACTAGATCTGTCCATTTTAATAAGGTGCCAGCAACTTTTGGTTGATCCCACATTCTGTGGCATTTTTAAGAGTTTGAAAGGAATTTAGCTCTTTTTCTTGCCACGAGAATTAATCGCTTTTTGGCGAAACCAAAAGCCCTTTTTTAAAAAGACTCTTTTTAGCCTTAGAGAGAATTTAGCCCTTTTTGCCTCAATCTTATTGTTAAGATCGTAAAATCAGCCAAGGAATACTTATTCAGATGAACCCTTGTACGCAAAGCTTCAAAAAAATTTGCCTGCGGCGCTTTGTGACGGCACTAGAAACCATAAGGATGCACGGGGGCCAATCGGCAAAAACCATGCTTCGGGTGGGGTTCGAACTCGGGAGCCAAGTCTTCCCAATACAGCGTGCTAACCACTAGGCCAACGGGGAGACAGGAGGCCTCTCTTGGGGAAGCTAGACCCGCCCGCCCTGACTCGGGACTGGGGCCGCGAAAGGGGTGGGTGGCGCCCCGTATGGCGAAGGTTTAAAGTTAAAATATCTCAGAGGAGAAGCATTCTTTCGATGCAATTTCTTCTTTACTTGTTCCGGCATGGTCTAATGCATATTTGAGCAAAATTCCAGCCCAAACGGACATCACTAACCCTTGTTTTGACCGCAATTTAGCTTTTAAACTTAAAAATTAAATATAAATTTTTTAAAAAGTTATTTTGAAAAAAACGCTTCTTCCTCACCTTCATTTACATCAAGTCGATATATGTGGAAAATTTCAGCCCAAACGGACAATGGGAAGGCACTTTTTGACGACTACAAAGGTTTTGCGGGCATACAGACGTACAAACGCAGACCCCCCCCTCGAAACGCAATTTAAATCGGCTGTTAAAATTCGAAATTTAACTTTTTTTCAAATTTTAAAAGCTTATAGTATGCAAAAAGTGTCGCCGGTTCCGATGGTGTATTCAGTTTTGCGATCCGATGCTTGGTTCTTTTTTAAATCCGGAAAAGGACCCCAAAAGAGTCGTATGGGGGGTACCTCAAACCAAAAGGGGTTAGCGGGCTACGCCCGCTACCCCCGAATTAGAAGATACGCGTAAGGTTATTAAAATATTTTTTTTTGGAAAACTTTATTGCCCATTAAAAAGCTAAACGATCGCGATGATTAGCGGCGCCCTTTCCACGCGACCCACGACATTTTTTTGAAACATTAATTCCGAACATTTACTTGAGCGAAAGACTATGGCTGTTTGAACTGTTTGAGCCGAAGGATTTTTAAAGGATTTCACTTTGCAGAAAGATCTTTGCAGAAACCAATATTTCATCCATAAAAACCTATCATGTTTTCCAATTCTTTTTTTCCGGAATAATAACAAAATTATAAGCAAAAACATTGATAGAAGCTAGTTGTAAGGAGTAAGTTTTTGATGGTGTTCCTCGGGATCACTGTCAAGGTAATATATCCCACATTAACATCCTTTCCATAAAACATTTTTCTTGCAAAAAACCTACCTCAAAATCAACGTCTGTAGATCGGGAGCCGCTTGTGATAGTGGGGGCATAGAGGTCGAGGATGCGGTTGAGGTGACCGGAATTTCGGAAGCCTTCTGAAGAGCGGACGCCGCATCTGACGGCTTCATGTGGTTATCTGAAATTGCAAATAACAGATATTGTTTCAGAAAATTAAATTTTTAAAATGTTTCATAAAAATGTTGCTCGATGCGGAGGTTTTTATGCTGGATTGCTTCTTTTAGGTTGCGTCACTTATCGATTTCTTATCGCAGCATTTCAAGCTAATATTTGCTTTGTTGAACCCCAGTAAAAGAATTCGGAAAAATTAATATCATACTTTTCTAACTAATGTTAATATTTTCACGCTGCCCCATTACTTCACGAATTTTTGATTTCTTGATGGTGGTTATTTTCCCGTAAAATGAAAATGTTCCAAAAAATCTATATACCAAAACGACGGCCAACCGCTGATTGTTCCCTTTACTAGTTGACAACCAGTTTTTTGTTCCTTTTCCTATTTTCTGTCCACAGTTTTGTCCATTTCGTGCTGTGTGGCATACTACAATTATCGAAAGGCGAGATGCCCCTGGGATAAAGAGCACCTCGAGGGTAAACTCAATATATCCAAGGTTGCCACCATCTGCCTTACGAGTAGGAAAATACCAAAGCGCGCCGTGTGTAAAGTATAGAGAGTCGGTCGTTCAGTGGATTTTGGTCAAGGTTTAATGCATATGAATGTAATGCAGTTATTGAATAGAATAAATAAGAAAGGGTTTATTAAAGAACCACATAATACACCTAGAGCAATAGTAGGAAAGGGAAAGTGAGATGCGGGGAGTGCACCGTCCCCTTTCGGGGACCGTTGCCCTCTCTCAGCCATGGGCCAAGCGACGAGGGAAAGGCTCAGTACATTCCCCACTAACTAGGGAAGTATCTGAACTTGCCATCGAACCTTGGGAAGTCAGATACACCATTCGACGCGCCGTGACGCGAGGATTCCAAATATGTAATAAAATCAACGGGAGCGCATAACGGCAAAAAGTTATGAGCATTTTAAGTTTTACATTGAAATCCGCCGCCGCGAGAAGAGCCCCTCTCAGCGCAGCCTGTCCATCGGTCTCGTGGCCTAGTGGTGTGCGCATGGGTCTTGGGATTGTATGACCAGGGTTCGGCTCCCCTCACGATTTTTATTTTTTGCTTTTTGACCAGTTCCTACTTTTTGCATGTCCAAACTCGGGAATAAGTTTTTCTTGACTGTGTGGCCCCTAAAAAGCACCAGCGATGATAAAATAACCTCCGGCAACAAAACCAGGATTGGACGCTTTCTATATCAAAGTTGGCAAAATCATCGGAAACCGCCCTTTTAAAGGTACACTAAAGCCTCGTTGGCTTGGTTACCGGCCGGTAACCGTCCGCGGAATAGCAAACAGGGTTACGGTAGGTGCTCGCCGCGTGGCAAAACCGAACCCGCGCCACTCGCCTAGGGCGAGCGCTTTAGACCACTAGGCCATGAGACAGACGGGAGAGGGGAGAGGGAAGGGGTATAAGAAGGATCCGGACGTTGCGCGGCAGAGGGCCCGGATTTCCGACCGCGAACGGACTTTTTGCGCGAGATTTTAGTGTACCTTTAAGGCTCTGTGCGAATTAGAAGAATTTAATTTTTCAAAACGGAACAGTACATCTTATTCAGCAGAAAATTCCCTTTCGAATGAGCTAACTTACCTGCGCTTTACGCTAAATTCTCGATAAGTCTTCGGCTAGCTGGCCATACCCTACCCTTACACTGCATTCCAAAAATATTTTTTGTGGAAATTTTTGGCAGCCGTATGTAATCAGCTCATTTGAAAGAGCTTTTTTGGTTGAACAAGGAGCACTAATCAGTTTAGACTAAATTCCATTCCGCGGGATAATACAGGGTCTCAAAGTTGCTGTTTTTCGACATTTTGCCGACTTTGAACCCTCATAACTTTTTACCGTTATGCGCTCCCGTTGATTTTATTACATATTTGGAATCCTCGCGTCACGGCGCGTCGAATGGTGTATCTGACTTCTCAAGATTCGATGGCAAGTTCAGATACTTCCCTAGTAAGTGGAGAACTTCCCAAAACCTCCCCTAATCAGGGGGGCAACGTTGGTGTATCACACATGCTGGGCGTGGGACAGCTGGGCGTTCGGGTATTCCCTTTGGGAATGAATCCCGCCCGAAATATCATGGATTTCCCTCAGAGAGGGAAATCGCCAATAAATCGAGTGCTGGTTTCCTCGAGAGAGCCCACTCCCCTGGGCGCCGCCCTACGGTATAGGGGGCGCGCAGGGAGAGCGTTGCGGGACCACCCCCGCCTGGGCATTTCCCTCGAAAGGGCCATGCGGATTCGGGAATCCGGCATGGAACTTTCGACAACAATTAGAACATAGGCATGAATTACCAATTACGACCGCATTAAATTGTTTGAAAAATGCTGTTTCAAAAAATGTGTATAATTGGCAAATATCGTACTTTCTTTGATCCGCGTTTCTCGACCATCGTTAGTTTATTAATTTTTTGGTTACTGGACCCAGATACCGTACCCTGGTATGATTATTGTATTATTTACTTTGTAAGCGGTAACTATTTAATACGTCTTAAACATCAAATTCGTAAATTAAAATGGTTCCAAACACCTATGTGAGCAAGGAGAAAATTTATTGCGGATTAGACCTTGAGCAAACCCGCGGCTCCGGCGCCCTCCGAAATATAAATCAAAGGAACGGTCCTTTGGCATTATCGGGGGGGGGGGACGTAAGCTGAATTTTTTATAGGTCCAGCAATGCCTAGTAACTGAAGAGTAAGCAAGAATGTACAAGAAAATCAAAATGTTTCAGGTAAACCATGGTAGAAAGCACACGGGGATGGGTCAATTGGATCGTGCAAATGTCATTCTTTTGCAAATTTAAAGGGATGCCGACGGCATAGTCAATCGGTTACGCGCTGGAAAGAAAATGTCTCTGCGCCTCTCCCCTGGGCGCGCTCTCTCCCCTGTTGGCTACTTGCCAATTTGTTGATGAGGGGGGATCGACACATGCCGTCGGCAGCCCTTTAAGGCCGCCTACACCGAATGAAAGGAGTGTCTTACCGGAATAACAGGATGTGAATTCCAAAAATAATGTTGGGAATTTAAAAAGCTCTCACAGAGTTTCTAAAAAAATGTGAAAATTCTTAGCCAATAGTCCGGAATTTTAAATGTTTCATCTACGATTGAAATCTCGTAACAATTGTGCTAAACAATGGAGAGGTGAATTTCTCGTTTTATGTTTTTCATTTTTCTCATTTCTTATTTAATTTGTGGCTCCAGCTACCGTACCCTTCTTCTTTTTTGGTAACTGTTTGCGACAGGCAAGTCCATTTTCTCGGCTACACCCAATGCAGGCCGCCCCGGAATCGAAAGCGGCTGAGATCAAAGTTCTTGAAGTAATTATTCGATTAAATTTTGAATTTTGTTTGAAATTGGCTCCCAGATTGTTTAAGAGATTCATTATTCCAAAAACGAAGGAATCAGCATGTTTCAAAGAATTTTCCGTAGAAGACGATAGTCATTTCCTTAATGGGTAGTGACTGGTTGGTTTTGATGTTTTTCCATCCCTTAATTTACTTGTTAGCCCAGCTACCGTATTCCTTCTCGTTTTCTGGTATCTGTTGGACTCCAGCTAATCCCCGGCTACACCCAATGCAAAGAGTATCGCCCCGGAATCGAGTGGAGACAGGCAAAACAAGCCTCCCGCCCAAGATACGTCTCTGCTTCCCGGAACTCCCGTATATATTAATCGGGATTTCTAAGGCGGAGCACCAGGCGAAAACACTTCTCTCAGTCTCCTCTTCTTGAGGAAACGCCCGTGCGGCTATTCCGAATGTTTTCGCGTCGGGACCCCCGCGGGGCAGAACATTGGCGAAAAGGCCAAAAGGGGCGACGACGACCGTCTGGGCCAAACCCTCACTGGAAGCGGTGGGACGGGGAAACCTCGTAAACATGTTTCCGCAATGGGGCAGGCCACGTAGCTTTTTTGCGGAATAGTGAAGTGGCTGAATATAGAAAGTGGAAAAATGTAAAAAATGACTTTTGGATTTCCTTTTTGGAGATGTTTCATAAGATAATCTATCCCAATCTTTACCTTTCCAATCGATAAAAAGCAAAAACGAGTCCTCTAAAGATTCAAAATATGACTATAAAATTTAAAGATTTACATAAAAGACGATTTTCAAAAATTGGGTTCTTGTCGAATGTCAGATCGTGGGAAAGCCAAGTCAAAATGACGTGTTTCATAAGACACAAATGTGGGGGACCCCCGAGGAGATTTAATTCGTCTTACCGTTTTATTCTGTATTCCTTAAAGGGGGCTCCGAAATCTGGTCCACGGCCCCCTGCTGTGATTCCTGGCAAATAGCCAGATGCGACCGCAACGCGACCGCGCCGTATGAACTTTTGCCCCTGTTTGGACGCGAAAACGCTTGGATTTAAAAATTCTGATGCGATTTTTGGAATCCTCAACGAATTTGGATCATTCCAGACTTTTAAATTATGAAAATTGATCAGAGAATCGCCGAGATCGAGAGTTTGGATGCCTTACGGGGCATTACGACATGTAATCGCCGCCCACTCAAAAGGTCGTTTTCGCCCCAAAAAAGAATTCAGTTTTTCTCAAATATATTACGTTTTTTTCGCAATCAAATCACTTTTCTGGCACTCCTCGGCAGCGACCCTTTCGTTTTTTGGCCAGTAGGTTCAATCCCCGCACGCACGAATTTTGACTTCCGAGCCCCTTTAACGAACAAAATTACCATAAAGCCGCAACGATACTGTAAAATTACGTTCTTATTAAATGCGTAAGGCGCACCACGTGGTTTTTTTGCGCAATAAATTTCCAAATGCCAAAGCGGAAAAGTGCGAAAGCTGGATTTAAGAATTAAATGTTTCATCATAAAAACAATCCCCAACTATACAGTTTCAAGCTATAAAAAATAAAAAACGAGTTCCTTCAGAAGGTAAAAGACGATTTCAAAAATTACTTATAGCCGACTGGCTAATTGCAAAAAACCCAAGTGAAAGCGACGTGTTTCATAAAACAGCAATGTGAGGAAACCCTCGATGGGATTTATTGCGTCGAGCATTTTATTTGGGAAATTCTATAGCTCACAAATTTTGGTCATTTCATTCGAATTTCGAGTATTACAATATTACCGCAGCAATTACGATCAGCGGGAGCGATACTGTATAATTAAATGTTCTGGATAATTGCTTTGGGTTTTGCGGGATAGCGAGTTTCCGGATGCAAAGGTATGAAAAAAAACTTTAACAAGGACCATTTCATAAAAAAACCCAATTTCTAGCGGTCACTGTAGCTCCAAGCTAAAAAAAGAATCCTTTGAAAATGTCAATAACAGACGGTTTTAAGAAGTAGCGTTTTCCGTGAACTCGGATCTCAAAAAGTTGAAGGTTTGCAGAAAAGTTTTTAGCCCCCGCTCGATATTAACCGATTTCTTGAAAAAGCGTAAAATCAGCGTCGATAAAAATAAGAAGGACGTGTTTCATTAAACCGAAAATTCACCCGTTAAAATTTCCGATTTATTTTGAAGATGTTGCGTGCAAGAAAAGTATCTATTAAACTTTGATGTTCTCTTGGCATTTAGAGAAATAGAAAACAGTAAAAAAATGCCGATAAAGCCGTGTATGCCGTATATTTACTTTTTTTTGAAAACTATTTAGCATTTGAGGAAAAAGTCAATTGTCATGTTTTATAAGCGCTTAGGCGGTTTGTTTTGGCGATACATGAGGATCCCAAATTTTCCAGGGGTATAAAAAAATTATGCTTGTCCAGGAAAAGTAAAGGTCCTCTTTTAGCAAATTCCATTGATCGCTAAGTCTGTTAAAATTAGCAGGGATTAAGGGTAATAAATTGCGACAAAATTGATAGAATCCAAAATGTCGAACCTCCGCTTACTGTCATAAAATCCCTCGCCAGCACCACTATGTTTTGTGAAACATTTTTAGGTTATTGCAACAAGGAATGGAGAAAATACAGTAATACAGTAGTACTAATGATTATAATATTCATATTAAATACACATAACATTATATATTAAAAACTCACACAGCAGCGCGGCCTGCAGATTGTTGACGTTGCTGTTTGGCATTTGGCTGAGGGCTGAAATTGTGGCCGTGATGCTCTCGCGGGTTAGGCTGAAAAAACATGTTTTATTTTAGGGACCAAGTATCTGAGTAAAATAGCTTGGTTTCACAAGCGGAAAAAAAGAAATGTTTCCTTTGTATTCAGATTTTCACCTGGGGAAATCAACCCAATTTCCTTCCTCATTCTCGTTCTCCAAATATTGACATATTTTACATGTAATATATCGAATTAGCTCTCTTTAACTGTTTTTTAAGTGTTCATTCCGTCGCTCTAAAAGCTCGTAAAATAAATATCTATAGGAATTCAAGAAAAGCATCGATTTGACGAGACATAATCTATATAATCCCATTTCTAGCATAAGTAATTCATTCAATCAACCCAGTTAGTTAAATTTTCTTTAAATTTGTAAACTAATTAAGCTGCGAAAAATGGATCTAGATAAAGAATTGCAGTACGTCAACGCAGAAATTTGCCTCTGCGCCTCGCCACTCGCAATTTTCGAAAAATCGTGTTTCAAAAATATATGGTGGCGGAAACGAGAGGTATCAATTAATCGTTCGGTCGTATACAGGGTCTAAATTATGCCGGGCAATTTTAGCTTTTCAATTTAATTATTTTATAATCCATATTTAGCCGAGATTTGTGTAAATCAAAATAGCAACAAGGTTTCTGGCTCTGAAACGAACCGATCTAGGAAATTCTAAGCTTTGCCAAAATTATGTTTCAAAAAAAATAGTGGCTGAAACGGAAAAAGCAGCAAATGGTTGGATGCCGATATTATAGATATACAAATTGTATGTTCAAACCGGGTCAGTTTTACTGTATATAGTTAATGAATATTTTAACATTATTAATGAACGACAAACCTCAACAGGGTGTCCTTCCTCTGCCGCCGTCGAATTTTGATCTGGTCGGCCATCAACTTCTGCCGTTCCGACACCACTTGGCACTGAAAATGTGAAGGCCGATTTTAAAGGGGCTTTCTTATAGAATAATAATTTTAATCTATAATTTTTAAGCATCGTTTTTCGGTAGCTGTCTCGATAAAGCTGTTGAAATATGTTATAGTATGCTAATTAGCCCTCTTCGATTTTTTTTTGGAAACCCGGTTTGCTGTTGCATGTTTTTTAAAAAGTCAAAATTCCGATTTTCGATTTTCACCATTCTTGGGCCTCGCTTCGCTTAGACTTGGGCTTGGCTCAGGCATGACATAGGTGAGGCTTCGGCTTAGACTTGGCTTAGGCTTTCACTTGGCTCAGCCTAAGGCTTAGGCTCGGCTTGGGTTTAGGCTGGGCTTAGACTAAGGCTTAGGCTCAATTTGTTTCTTGGCTTAGGATCGGCTTGGCTTAGGCTTAAGTTTAGACTTGGCTTAGTCTTGGCTTAGGCTTCGCCTTAGGCTTGGGCATAGGCTTATGCTTAAGCTCGAGGTCTCTAAACGTCATACCGCTTCCGATACCGTCTACCGCCTTTATCGCAAATCCCTTTTAACACGTCAAAATCTGTTTTCCGCCATAACCAAATCATGGCCCGGGGGCTAATTTCCCGGGGATTACCGTACCCCTCTGCCAAGGGTCCCGACACGAAAACACAGCCGCACACTTTTGATTGTTGTTGGCAACTCGGTGGGAGGCAAGAGGACGCGGAGCTCCTTATATAATTCGGCTCATATAAGGGGAGCCGCAGCCAAAGGGAGCCCCCGTGGATGTTTATAGCCGCAGGGCATTTCCTGAAAACAATCCCTCCCTGTCCCGGTTGAGACAGACGACAAAGACAAAAATCCAACCCAGCCAAATACACACATTTTTTGTTTTCCGTTTCGCATCTCCGACGGGGAACTGGGGCTCAAATTAGGCGGATGGAAAGGAGGAAGAAGTTGCATAACTCTCTCACTGTCGCTCTCTCTCCCGCTCTCTCCCTCTCTCTGCCTCTCTCTCCCTCTCTCTCTATCCCTCTCTATCGCGTTGTCGCGCTCTCGCTCTCTCTCACTCTCTCTCCCTCTCTCTCTCTCTCTCCAACTATGTTTTTCACTTGGCATCCTTCCGGCGTAACGCGCGCGACATTTTTACGAATATTTTCATGTTGCGCCCCAAGTTGTGGGCCCCAGAAATGGCCATTGCTGAAAAATAATGGCTACCCCCGAGGTGAAAGATCAATTTCCGCACTAATTTTGGGGATATCGGCCGGACCGGAAGTACTCTGGAATTTTGAGATTAAAGAGAGTATGCAAGTCTTTTTTGGCGGGTATGGTGATAGTAATTTTCCTTAAAAGCTAGCCAAAGACGAGGTTTTTTGAAACAATCAATTTTGCGGCCAGCGCACTTTGCTGTTTTGAAGATTTATTGATTTGTGACCTGTTTGAAGAACGACAATAGCACTATTTAGTCACCCAAAAAGAGCCCATTAATTCTGAAGCTAAGATCGCGGGGCGGTCAATTTGTGAAACATTTTTTATTCCTTCAAAAGAATGGCATTGGCTTTTTCGCTAAAAGGAAGGAAATACTGTATCAAAATAAAAGCATCCACTACCAAAATAGTCAGAAACATATTATTCGAAATCTTGAGGAAGCTTTATCATCCTTTTCGGCTCAAACGTATTATAGCCTCAGTGACCACACAGTTATTAGATTTTATGCTGCCATGAAAAAACCCTCAATTCGCGAAACATTGATAAATCGCGTAAAGCGCAAGCCGGAAACTGGTTTTCCCAAGTAATCCTCTTTTAGCAAACCACAGCCCACAGCCCTAAGCCTAAGCCTAAGCCTAAGCCTATACCTATGCCTAAGCATACGTACAGTTTGTAGGATATAAAAGCATCTCCAAATATTCAAAAAATGTAAGATTTTGGTCAAAAATGTATGAAAAATGTCTGAAACACGTCACAATTTTTGAGGTTTGTTTATAACTTTCTAGCGATCAATACTAATAAAAACACTCTAAGATACTTTGAATTATGCCGGATTTTGGGCAACCGAACCTTGAAATTTTCGAAACAAATTTTTAGCATCTGCTCTTGAGGCGCATCCCCGGCGAAGGATTGCGACATTTCCCGAGGTGACATATATTCCACAAACAAAAATAATAGAAAGAAAAAAATTTATATCCCCCGATCACAGTCTAGTAGAGAGCGAAGCTAACGGCTCATTACCCCGAATTTCGAACCTCAAATCCTAAAAATTTTCGAAACATATTCTTTAAGGCTTTTTTTCAGGCCCGTCCCCGGCCAAAAATTGCGACATTTCCTGAGGTGGCATATTTTCTAGTAGGGGCCCTCTGTTGTGGCCCACAGCGGGCCCAGACTGGGGGCCCAGGTTGAATAATAGTGGCTACGTTGCAGACGGGGTTGCTGACAGACAGAGGCCCAAAGCTGGTGTCGAAATTTGGATGGATCTTATGTTTTAGTAAATTTATACACATACGATCACTTTCCTAACCTGACGGACATTTTTTAATTTAATACTAGAGAATTTAGCAAACTATTTCCTGAGTTTTTAGGCGTGGAAAGATAAGATTAAACAGCACGCGTGATCTATTAAACTATCATTTATGAGCTCACTTTTGAAATATTTTGAAACAGATTGGTAAATTTATTTGTATTTATATTTGTAACTGCAGAGGTTGGGGAAGGCCTTGTTTCTACCCTGTTTTTGATGTCATCGGTTAGGGCATGGTCGAATTACTGGGGCTGCATAGTTTTGAAAGTTTAAAAAGTTTGATTTTGGTGGTTTAAATTGGCGTTGAAGTTGCCGAAAATTTTCTCACGGAAAATTTAAAAAAGCTACATCGCGACGATGATTAACTATCGTTTTCAAGCCTTAGCTAATATTTGTTTTAAAACATTGCTTTTTCCCCGAGCGATTTCTGGTTTTGCGGGGTTAATTAAAGTAAATTATCACCAAATCGACGTTTTTCCACTTTTCGGTTAATAAGAAAAGCCTCTGTAACTCGGAAAATTTGCAAGTTCTGCACAAGATAGGGTCCCGAATGGGATTTAAAGCCTATGTAAAAACGCCGTGTTTTTGAAAAGATCAGAAACATTTTTTTAGTTCGGTGAATCACACCGCATTATCAGCGCAATAAAGTTTTTTCGAGAAGCCAGATGGGTGAAAAATTGATTCTGGTTGATAATTTAGTTCATATTTAACGGACTAAAGTCCAAAACAAAAGTGACATTTTAAAAACGACATCTTTCAACGAACCTTTGGACACGTGCAATCCTTGTAGGGGCAAACGCGTTTGTGGCCCTTCAGCCGATTCTTCCGGCCATGCTGCCCGCATTTCTGGCAGTTCGGGATTCGCTCTGAAAATGGGGGGAGTAATTAATGTAGCTTTCTAACTTGATTAGGGTTTACTTTTCAATAAATAGATATTTTACTGCATTTTACTTCAAATATTGATGCTGTCATTCTTCATTTTTTGTCAGGACAAATTTAATTACGAAATTTCGGTCAGAATCAGAATCACGTTACGGAACCTGCAATTACACTGTGCTAAATCTCTTGTTAGCCTAGCTAAGTCAAAGCATTGGTTTTTAATCGGTGCTGTGGTACCGGGTTATTTTTATTAGCATTTTTAGCAATATTTTAATAACTACAATTAGCTTTTAAAATTGAATTTTACTTGGGGGTTCGCGAAGAAAAAGGTTTCAATATTGTGCTGTGTTGGCGGTCCAAGTATTCAAGTGAAAGACATGCGTTATGATTATTTTTATGTTGATTAGGTGAAATCCAAAGAACTATCTTCCCCAAAAATCATTAAAAAACGTGGTTTCTTAACAATTGCACTTTCAGCATGGATTCAAATGAGGTAATGCTGTTGCTACCGCCGATGCAAGATTCTAGCTGTAGATAATCAAATTCTAACTCACTTTGAAAGGATTGTTTTTAATGCTTATTCTTGGCCCCTCATTGGACGACGAATTTCCGCCTCGTTACCAAGTACATACAGGCAAGTAAATTTTTCGAGCTAAACGCTTAAAAACATATTTTCAAGTGGAAAACATGCGTTATGATTGGTTTTATGTTGAGTAGGTAAATCCAAAGATTACCTTCCTAAAAAGTATAAAAAGTGGTTTCCTAACAATTACGCGTTCATGCTGGATTAAATGAGGTAATTTTGTCGCTGACCCTGCCGATGTTAGATTATAGAGTTGTGTTTAGTGCTTTAGATTGCAGGATTATACTTTTTCTCTCAGCATTTTACATTAATCAATTTTGGAACACACTATTTTAACGTCTACTTTGGTCCCTCATTTTTATGAATCCAATCAGATTTTCGGGGTTTTGGACCATTATGCGTTATAGATTTTTGCTAAGGTCCCGGATTAGGCAATTTTGAAACATTTGGCTTCTCTTAATTTTTAGTCCCTAATCTTGAAGGAAAACGACCCGTTCTCATCTCTTTACCATGAATACATGTAATCAACTTTTTCGAGCTTAAATAGCGCCCATTTTGTACGATTTCTGGGGATCCCGAGGGCCAAGGCTACCTCAAAAGAAATGCCCTTTCCCGCGACATTGAAATGTAGTCGACTCGACTGCTTCTTACAAAAACCACCCCCCGACTTGGCCCCACCAAAAATACGCTTCCCTTTTTATGTTAAAAAATCGTATCGTGAGGGTTCAAACAGCCTGGGAGTTTTATAGGTACTGAAGTATTAGCGGGGGTCGCTTTTATAGCGAAAAAGCAAAAAAATAAATTTCACGAATTGTGAAAAAAATAAGAATGTAGTTGCGGTATTGTGACGGGTTAAGTAAAGCAGAATTTTTCTTTAAGTAAGCACAAACCAAAAACATTGAATTTTAAAGGGTTTTATACTTATCCTTAACATAAAGAACTAACAAATTTTATTAGAAGGTCGCAATCAACCTTTTTCTAATATTTTTCGTTAGTTTTTCAGTTGAAATATAACTCCAGTGTCGTAAAAACACTATTAAAGCGCGTACTCCTACGTTTCTAGGCATTTCTCGCCATACCGGAAAAATTTAACCCCCGCTCCCCCGGTAATGCAAAGAAGCAACCCTGAAAAAAAAATGTTCTTAAAAAATGCGGTACACGATGATCGACCTCGTAGTTAGTAACATAAAACCTGCCGTCAAGGGAATTCTCCCCCGCGCGCTTTAAAAAATTGTGTTTTGAATATTTGGGAGTTGACTTAGTAATGTTCGAGCTTAATGGATGAGGTAGTACAGTCTAAAAATGAAAAGTGCGATAAAGGTGCATCGAGATGGTGATTGAGACTTCAGTTAAATTGTTATGTTTCAAGAAACTTTCAGAATGACCAGGGGTTGAAGACTACAACCGGAAATAGGCTCGATAGGAAATGTGATGGAAATTAAACAAACTTTCAAAATGGATGGGGGAAGGGCATTTAAAACACACGAACTTTCGAGTTAAATTGGTCCAGTAGTTGTCGAGTTGTTGCAAAAATCATATTTTTACAAATTTTCCCCTGGCTTTTTCGGCGCTTTTTTGGATCGATTTCCGGTAACATCGACTTCTCTCCTTCCGCTTAAAGTCGCGATCGATTTAAATGCGATAAAATGAACAGAAACTAAGAATTTATTGTTTTGTAATTTTCACGTGCAAAGCTTGCAGAATTTTTGCCTGCAAAAATGTTTCAAAAACATTTCGTGACGAATTGGCCTTCGGGACTTTAATAGATGCAGCGAAGGGGTCGAATTAAAGGCGCGCGGGCGCAATATCATGACAACGTTAAAATCCATAGATGTACCTTATCAGCCCCTTTAAAGTCGGTAAAATTTCCCTATTTAAATTTATTTATTGCATTAAACTAATTTATTCCGACCCCCCCCATCTCCGATTTTCGGGCGCACGGGTGTGATCTATTAAAAAGGGATGTTTACGGTGAAACTATTTGGGGTATCTCTCTCTTTTCCTGCACTCTCTCAAACGCCCAGCTCTCTCGCCGGCTTTTGGCCCTCCCCAGTTTCTTATTGAAAGCAACTCGGCGGGGCCCTACTCTTGGAACATGTTTTCCGAAAACAAAAAGGACAAATGGCCCTCGGGAAAGTGACCGAAGTGGGGGCCAATGGTTTCCTAAAGGGTGTCTGCTAGTTTGCCTTCAAAAATTGGTGTTAGGACTTGCAAAAACAGATTTCGATACGGTACGATTTAGATTTTTCGAAAAAAAAATGTGTTTCGAAAATACAGCGTGAAAATGGCTTTCCGAAAAAGCTATTATCACAACATGTTTAGTGAAAATCACGATAATTTTGAAAACACATTTATTTTTACAACATTAACTTTCAAAAAGCCATGCGTCTCAATTTTTCGGTATAGCTTTAGTTAGTGGAAGCAAAGCGAAAGTTCAAAAAGTGCTCGAGGAAAATTTAGAATTAAAGAAAAATCTTTTTCATAGATTTAGAATTTTGATAATTAAGGGTTACTGCATTTTGATGGTCTTAATTCTTTCCCGGGACTAATCTAAACCGAGCAAATTCTATCTTATCATCGACTTCTTCCTCGGTATTTTCCATATGAACACTTTACTAGAAGTCATTCTTTTTGTTGCTAATTTTTAAAAAATTTATAGACTAATTTTGGTAGCTTGTGGAAAAGCAACTGCTTTGTCGTGAAACAGGTAGGAAGCAAAATCTCTCCTTTTCGGGACGCGTTTTCGTTATTTAGTGTGCAAAAGATAATTGTTAAGCGCGGAAACAGCGGATTGCCAATTAACGTACTTCGCTGGCGAGCCAAATCCATAAAACAGACTTTTTTTTCGGGATATACAATGTTTCAAAAATTTTTGATGCTACTACATCCACGCGGAAAATAATCGAATTGCGATATCAGTCTAACTAAAAACCTTGCTTTATTTTTTTTTAGTCTCGTTGTTTCAGACATCCTACGATTGAAAGGCGTTCACAAAAGGAGTTATTGCTCTCTCAAAAATTATAATGTTGGTGTTTCAAGAATACTAGGGACATGAAATTCCTTTCCCTAACTAATTCGCAGACCCGGCAAATTCGCTTCATGTAATCGGTGTGCTGCCTGTTGGAAAATAGTTTCTTTGCAGTATCGGAGGGGGGGGGGGAGGGGGAGGGGTTAGCAGGGGTCGCAACCGAATTTTTTGCATGCGGTTATGTTCCTAATAACGAACGTATGAGTATTATCATGGGGGCATTTAAGGTTTCAGTAAAACGTAATTATATTTGAGGCGGGCAAACTATCGCAAAAACTGAGAAAAAATTTTAGTTGGAATCCCGATCGAGAAATCGGCCATTTCATGTTTTCGGCAAGCAATTTTTCATGTATTTCTTTGCTAGAAATTTGTAAATTTTTGCATTTAATCATAGTAAGATCAATTTAAAAAAACTCCCTGAAGATCTATTAGAAAAATTGGCTACTAAAGTGAAAACTTGCGTTTGTCTCGACACCCCCCTCCCCCCCCGATAACGCAAAAACACCCAAAAAATTCTATTATACCATTTCTTTTAGTTTCATTTGAATTTAATTGCCCCCGAGAACCCACCATTTTCTGTGATTATTTGTCGGAGATTTTCACCTTGGGGCCGGCTGTACTCAAAACAGCTTGCGAAAATGGGGATTAGAGGAGGGCAGGCGGCCGCTCTTCTCTTTTTCTTTCATTTCTACAGCCAGTAGTACGTTTCTTACAAATTGCAAATCCGTACTAGGGAATCCAGGTGGGTAAAGTATAGCAGACCGGAATTTCATTGCGGGATTATGTTTCATAAAAGTGCAAAACTCAATGTTTGGAAATCTCCATAGTATCTCTTCTTTTAGTAATTCTTGTTTGCTAAAATCTGATTAGACAGACTTCCATTTCCATAAATTTGCCAAAGAAATTAGATAGAGACACATAAAGCCAATTTAAAAGTTGCGGTAGAGAAAAGCGTAGAAAAATTGTGTTTCTAAGGAAATTTGTTAAAAAATTGGCCAGTTGTCGCATTATTCCGCAAAGACCATTTTATCTGCGTGACAACCCGGGAGAGCCAATTGAACTGCCTTCGCAATTTTGAATTTGGGGAACATGTGTTTCATCAAATTATAGTAGGGCCTCGGTTATCCCGGACGGAGTCAATAACCACGTAAAACAAATAGGAAAAATGTTTTGGTATGGCCTCAAAATAAGCTAAACAAGTGTGGTAGAAATTGGAAAAACACGTTTCATAAAAAAACGCTTCCAAAGCGCTGTTATCAAAGAATAGTAACTTTCGTTGTTGGTGAAAAAAGAGCCTATTTAAAAAGAACAACTGGTTGCAACGGGTATAAATTTCAAAAAAAAGTTTAGCCTTTTTGCTCTTTTCGATTAAATTAGCTATCGTTTGCCAATCCCTGGCAAATAATTAGTCTTGCCTTTTCAGGGATCTGGATAAACATAATGTTTCAAAAATGCACAAATTTTTAGGCGTTTGTAAACTTG